TTAACTGTATTTTAAAGTTATTTATTTAATAATTGCTCTAGGGATTACAATCAACATCTTATTAACCTATCACAATCTACTTCAGATTAATACTAACTTGATCCTGGTAAAATGTAGAAACTTTACTCTGATACAGCTCCATTTCATTCCTCCTGTTTTGTATAATTTCTGTCCCACATATTTCTCATGTACGTACGTACATATATATATATATGTGTGTGTGTGTATGTTATATATATTTTTTGGTCAATTTCCAGAGAACTGAAACAGTTGTTTTTGTCAATTCTGTCCAGTGTTACAGTTAATGCTTTATGCAATGTTATGTCTTTTAAGAAGAAAGGGGCAAGAGAAATCTTTTTTACATTAGCCTACATATTTACCGTTACCAGTGTTCTTTATTTCTCCCTGCAACCTAAGTTACCAAAATGTCATTTCCTTTTGGCCTGAAGAACTGGCAGGTCTGCCAGCAACAGATTCTCTCAGTTTTTATCTGAAAATGTCTTTTTCATCTTCACTTCTGATGGACAGTTTTGCTGCATATAGAATTATGGGTTGACAGTTTTCTTAAGTATATACTTTGAATGTGATTCAATTCCCTTTTGGTTTCCATTGTCTCAGGTGAGAAGTCTGCTGTTATTGTATTAATATCCCTTGTATGCGAGGAGTCATTTTTCTCTTTCTACTTTCAAGATTTTCTTTTTCTTTCATTTGCAACAGTTTGACAATGATGTGCCTAGGTATAGAGCTCTCTGTATTTATGCTACTTGAGGTTTGTTGAGCTTCTTGGATGAGATTCTCCTCAAATACATTTTTGGCCATTATTTCTTCAAATAGTTTTCGTCTTGCCCCAATTATAACTACGATCGTGGGCTAAGAGAGCCACGGTCTCTCTCCACTTGCCACAGTCTCACTCCAAGACTGTTATTTCAACCAATAAGGCCATGGGCAGGGCTGCTGCTCATTACCCTAAACTGAGTGAGCACCTTCTCACCCTTACACCCTCACAGCCTGCACCAGCCAGGCAGAACCTCCCTACCAATAGAGCTAGGGAGAGAGCATGGGAAGAGTCCCAAGCCAAAGCCACAGATTCTCATTGTTCTTCCCTGAAGTTCAGCAGTTTCTTAAGCACAAACACTTCTCGGATTGTTGTATGCCTCTAATGAACTTCCAGGTTGCTGAAATAGTTCATTTTTTGTGTCAGTTCTGTCCTGCTTCATAGTTATTTCTCTGGGGAAAGGATATGACATTCTCTCCTCCTTCAATCACTGCTAGAAGATGCCCTCCAGTCTTGATTTATTTTAAACTAAAACACACATACATTGGAAGACTAAGTCAGAAAAAATACCAAAGAGAAATGGGGAAGGAGACTGTGGAGAGGGAGAGAACTGATTCTACCCCTTCAGCTGCTTCTGCATGCTCCAAATCACTCCAATATAGTGTAAAAAAAATCCAAAAAACTATCTTGGTGATTTCAATTCACCAGCCACTTCCTTAAAGAAAAAGGAAATTCTCTTTGCTAGAAGCCACCAGAAACTCCCTCTAGTCTTCAATACACTCAAATTGGGTCACAAGAGTAAGCCAGCATGAAAGAAAAAGAGGCAGTTTTGAAAAAGAGCCGAATATAAATTCTAGAAAAAGAATGCTACATAGCAGTGAAAACGAATTACTATTACTACTGCTACAATCAACAACATGGGTAAAACCCACAAACAATACATTGAATGAAATCAAAGGGTACAGACTACATAATTCCATTTACTTAACGTGCAAAAACAGGAAAAACTAATGTGGGCTGTTCAAATCGAGAAAGTGGTTATCCTTGGAGGGTAGTAACAAGTGGGCAGGAGGGGTACTAATAACATTGTTTCTTGATTGAGCTACAAGATAAATTCAGTTTCTGAAAAGTATACTTTTCATTATGTATGCTATACCTCAATTAAAGAACAAAAAGGATATTCTCTTGGCCTAATGATCTATAATTGGCATGTTAGTCTTTCAAGGCTCAGCAAACCTGAAATCAAAGAGCTTCTGCCAACCTAAGCTGTGGCTAGATAGAGCTATGCCTTTCCATCTGCCCTATAAGGGTTTCACATAAACCTGGGAAAAGAATGGAGCAACCATATCAACCACTGTTATATGTGTATACACACACACACACACACACACACACACACACGCATACACAGGTGACCCTTGAACAACATGAATTTGAACCATGTGGGCCCACTTATATGCAGATTCTAAAAAATAAATGTCCTATTTTCAATCCACAGTTGTGGAAGGCTGACTACATACATTGATCTATGCCATTTTATAGAGTGGACTTGAATATCCTCACATTTTGGTTTCTCCAAGGGGTCCTGGAAGCAACCCTCCATGTATACCAAGGGACAATTAAGTTTTTGAGGTATCTAAAGTTATTTGCAGATTTTTGGCTGCACATGGGATTGGCACCCCTAACCTCCATATTGTTCAAGGGTCGAGTGACAGTGAGAGAGTGAGAGAGTGAGAGAGAGTGAGAGTGAGAGTGAGAGTGAGAGAGTGAGAGTGAGAGAGAGTGAGAGAGAGTGAGAGCGAGTGTGTGAGAGAGAGAGAGAGAGAGAGAGAGAGAGAGAGAGATGTCGTCTCAAGCCAAACACTCTAAACAAGGATCCAAACACTGCCCGCTTCCAACAGAAAAATTGTGGTCACTTGCTCTAGAACAAGTAACAGTTTTAGAATGGCTCTGGGCTGGACTTGATCCTATGATTCTGTCAAAACTCACGAGTGTACTTCTTCATTCTGTGTGGGAACTCAGGGAGACATGTGACATTTTATTTTGAGTGAAGCTTAAGACTACAGGGCACTTGTCACCAACACTTCTTTCCCTCACGACACATCATGCACCAGGGCTGATTCTAGGTACAAATCTGTCACCCATCAACCTGCAAGGGAGAAGATTATCACCCATTTTACATATGAAGCAGCACAGGCAAAGATCATCTGCCTAAGATCAATCAGGAAATGTGATTTGATCTGACTCTGCATGCTGGCCTCCAAAGCAGACTCTTTCCGTACTCTCACACTGCTTTACAATGCCCAAGCGTGTGTCTGGTCGTTCAGGAAGACCCCTGCCCTGTGTGCCTAGGATAATCGCTATCCCCTGGCTCCCTTGTGTCCTTTACGTGTCATAAAACCTCATCAACTTCAGGAAACGTTACATCTAAGTGCTATGCCCTTGGGTTGGAAGCCAATGGTCACAGTGAGGAAAATCTGGGACCAAGAGGCCCAGAGGCCAAACGCAGCCCAGGCTTTGGTAATAGAACGATATCAGTTTGAGTTCCAGCTCTGAGATCCTTCAGTACTTAACCTCTCCCTCACAATTCACTAGCCTGTCCTGTAGGGGAGCATGGTGATTACAAGAAAAAATGTACACCAGGAGCCCAGGAATGCAAGGGACCCAGCAGATCTCCACAAACACAAGCTCCTCCTTATCCTCATCCATCTGAGACGGTGTTGAGGACCAAGTCAGAGAGAGGGAAAGGAAACGTGGACTTACAATTTTATTTCTAGAACTTTAAAAGAGGACTCTGGCTTTAGAACAGAGGCTGCGGAAAGCAGAACCAGACAAAAGAGGCCTTTCTGGGTAGCAGAAACACAAAGCACACACTACTCATCCATCCCTAGACTAAGATGCTTTCACAACAGGAGGGAGTTAGATATTCCCGTGTATCTTGAGGAGGTAAGGATTTTTTTTTTTTTTTTTTTTTTTTTTTTGGCAACCCTTGGTTGATCTCACAGATTGCAAAGACCTTGTCAGCTTACAATCCTTTATTTTTTGTCTTTTTATGCCTACAGCTCCTGGTCTTCCTAGGTGGTCTCCCATCTAAGTTCTAATCAGGCCCAACCCTGCTTAGCTTCCTAGGTCAGACGGGATCCAGCTCATTCAGGGTGGCATGGCCATAGACAAGGAGGTAAGAATTTCTAATACTGAGAAACACCAGGCCAGGCAATTGCTAAAGTCCTTAGGATGCCAACAGTCTGGGTCCCAAAATGGATTTAACACAAAGACTGCTGGCTGGGGCCCCTCTGGGGGTGGTGGTCAATAAACACTCACAAAAAGGAAACAAGCCCCCAGGTTTCCCCAGCTTTGCACCTCCTGCCGACTACCCCAACCTGGACAAATAGATACGGAGGGGAGTCTGCAAGGGAGGCAGAGAGGGAGACGAGGGATGGACCACAGGGAGGCTGTGGGGCTAGCTGGGAGGCGATGGCCACACCTGCATGCCTATGATGGGATGTCTGGCTTATAGGACATCTGGGTGTGAACATTCTGGAGAAAACGGCTCTCACCAGAACTCTGAGAGGAGGGGTGACATCAAGAGCAGAAGCTAGACCTGAATTTCTCTTTATAAGGAGAAAAGAAGATTTCTAAGTGAAAAAAATAGGGTGGTACATTGAGTCATTTCTTTCAAGCTTTTTTCTTAAGAGCCTCACAAAAGCTGAAGGTCAGGAAAGCTACTCTTGAAGTAATCAGAGCACGCCACAGAAGACGCGAGCGGAGTGGCCCCTACTCTGAAATGCGCTGCCCATGAGGAATGGTGACACATATGAGAGGTACTCTGGGCTGGACTCCTAACTGTGCCCCCAGCCAAGTGACACAGGCAGAGCACAGCATCTCTGGCTTCCTAAGCCACAGAACTGAAAAGCAAGAAGGCATGACGAGATGAAAAACTCAAGTTTTCCTACAAGCACCAAGCGACAGATAGGAGGTATAAGTTTAGTAAAGACCTGCTGACAGAGGCTTCCGCTCTCCCTCCTATGAGACCTACACCACATGCCGGTCCCAGAAGGGAGGTCCCTCAGCCAGGAGGGCACAATGACGCTAAGGCTGGGCCCACAGCCACCTACATGATAACCCACCAAAAGCTGCTTCCTGCAGGCCAGGGTAGAGAAGGGGCAGCCTGGAGCCCACCTCCTTACACTTGGGCCTGTCCCAGTGCCCAGCCCTTCCCACTCACCTGTGTGAGGTGCGCATGTCCACAGGCCCATCGCCTGCCTGCCCTTCACCTCTGCCAATGGCTGTCACCTCTGCCCCCCTCAGCAACCCTTGGGCTGGACCTCCTCCTGGCTCGGGGATCACTCTCATGTCTCCATCAGTGTTTAAATCTGAAGCCAACAATCCTCTCTCCATTTTTATTTTCTTGCTTTCCACATCATCTTCCGCTGGGTCCTGTTCAAGTGCTCGTTTCTGACTCCGTGTCCGGCATGCTTCTTCGGTCATTCTGAACTTTGGAGAAGGAGAAAACACATTTAAACTTGGCACAATGGAGTTGTTACCTTCTTAGAAACTTTTCAAAGTGTCAGCCTGGAGTATTTTCCTCGCCACGTGACAATCGCAGAAGTAGGTACAACAAACGTTGGGCTCAAAAAACATGTCTAGGACATTTTTTCACTGCCCCGGTAAAGCCTGGACAGGAGCAGTGGAGCATCTGGGGAGCCGAGACTTCAGAGACCTGGACAGGGACAATGGAAGGTGTCCATTCATCAGAAAAATAGGGAATCCTTGGTGCTCCAGACTCAAAGCAAATAGAGGAAAATTCTGTCCTGCCTATGGGATTCTGAGCACCTACAGTGAACTGGAGGTGTCTGGAATCCAGAAAGGGGGACCACAATATCCCAGGAACAGGGTCACTGCCCAGGTCCAGCCCTGCACTGCACTGACTTGGGCTGACCCTTCTCCCCTTCAGTGAGGGTGGCCTCCTCACTCTCTGCTCACCTCAGGGGGGTGAAGAGTTGGGGGGGGAGG